CTTCCGCCGAGGGAGAAGGTTCCACATCTAGGACACCAGATGAAATGAGCTGAAATCGCGCATCGAACAAGTCGCGGCGATGGACTGTAACAGATGTTTCTGGAGTAACGATGACCTTGAGTGGAGAATACGATAGTTTAGGGGGGAGAGTGTCGAGCTATGTGTTCATCGAATTAGGGAAAGAGTGTGAGTGGGGAAGAAGGAGCGGGGGGACGGAAGAGTGCATACCACGGAATCTAGCTTTAATTCGCAAAATGCATCTCGCGGATTGTTCTGGAGATTAGTACTCGCTAATGACTCCGTTGCGCTGCTCCGCTCCGCGACAGCATCATTGGATCTTGCCGGGATGGCAGAGATTGAGGAGGACCCCGGAATACCCCTGTGGAGCCTGCATCCAAAAAAGGACGAAAAGACCTCCGAAGGTCTCAGGATTTTCCGGGACTTTTGCAGTGGGGGTCCGATTTCTACCTACCCTTGGTGGGGGGTAGGTATTGGGAAAAATCAAGAGATTGGCGAGTTATGTTTAATTTTTTTGGAGTAAATTTATTTGTACCTCTCATCTTGCCAATGTTTCTATGCACCCATGTCTGACTTTCATGTTGCCCGAGGATCATGATTTTCTCCGTCCCCAGCGATGTATCATCCCGAAACGGCCACCACCGGAGGCCATCGCGACCCATATACCTGTCACCAGGGTCCAATACAGCTCGATTTGGACAAAAGTCCGTCGCCAGCGAGGTCCGAGGAGCGCTAGACTGTACACCTAATGCCAATTTAGTCCGAGATCCCGACAAAAGAAGGCAAAAAGTAACAAAAATTGCTAGTCGCCAGCAAAGTCTAATCCAGGGGACACATGAGTTGGCAAAAACTGTTCATCGCCAGCAAAGTCTGAGTCGCAGCAGTCGGAGGCGGGGTCCGAGTTCTCAGCCACAAGTCTCATCAAAATGGATCTCCGAGTTTACGGGGTCCAATATAAAGTCACTTTGAGGAAATTTGCCCCCATCCCAAAATAGGACGGAAAGGTCGTTTTTTGGCATGTTTGAGGCAAATTCATGGAAAATGGCCTCAATTTCAGAAAAATCTATGCGTACGAAAAGACCTCATTTTGGATGAAGGCTCTACACGAGTATTCCAGGGTCCTGATTGAGGTCTCCATCTCGTCGGGCGTGAGACCGAGATCAAAATCAAACTTGAACATACTGTTTCCGGTGTACGCAACGCTTTTCGAGTGAAAGAAACTGTCAAGTCTTGTGCAAAAGTTTACTCGAGGATCGAAAAGAACAGGGCTTGTGACTCGTGACTGAGTATACGGTACACTCACCCCCCTCGGGGATACCCGGCCAGAGACCCCGGACGCGATGTCCAAACAAAAACCAAAGGTGTAAATGCCTTGGCCAAACACGCGCGATTCACCACTGCCGGAAGCAAACATGACGCGTCGTCGTCGTCGCCGCCGTCGCCGCCGTCAGCATTGCCCTTACCTCGTCGCCGCTGTCGACAACGATGACAAGACACCTTAATTTTTTTTCCTTTCAGCACATTTTTTGAGGGCATAATATAGTCAATTTTGCGAGCATTTATGTCATGATATGGCAACCAGTTCACATGTAAAATACTCATAGGTTAAGCAGACAAAGTCCAGAGAATAATGGCTTTTATTGACAGTTTTCTATGAATATCTCCACAACAACCTCGTTAATTGGCTTGAGTGCTTAGAGGATTATCTTGGAGGCATTGATAGGAACCT